CTTGCACTCTTGCCCCTGGCTTCTCCCTTTTGTACACATAGTCATGCTGACTTGTTTGCTCTGGATTTTGCTTTGCCCTGTAGGTCTTGGAGGTACTTTTGAAGGTGTGTGTATGTGCCTGTCCCAAGTTACATCATCGATGAGCACTGCTTTAGACTTGCATTCCTTATGCACTTCCTGTTGCCTAGCAATTAGCATAAACCCCGTGACACTGCAGGGCAGATTCATTAATGCTGTAGGGTACTGACTGATTGCACCTTAGAAAGAACCGGCTTACTGAACACAACCAGCCTATATGCTGCTTAATACTATTGCTAGCCAGGGCTCAATTCAGCGTATGAAAAAACACTGGCTGTACTTCAGTAACTCCAGTTTTGTAAACATGATCCATTGTGGCTACTGTATTGTGGACTGTAAAGTATGTGTTTATTCATCACTTCAAGTTTAAAACAGATCTCATCTGTTCAGAATACATGGCCCTAGTTAAAAGTGGTGATGTGAAGCGGCTATGCAAAACAAAACATAATGACTTTGAATTGATGCGTCCTATTTATGGTAATGAACCAATTATTAATGGTGGTTAAGCATTAAAAGGTAACTGTCACCATTCAGTCAGTTGTTAATAGTGTATCCTTTGTAAGCAAGGAATTTTATGAAACTAGACATTCTGTATACTTCTGTATACTGTGGTGGCATACAGTATATATGTATATGTAGATTTGGATATGTATATGTAGGATATGTATATGTAGATTTGGAATTTAGATTTGGATCTAATTGCATTTATATTAAGCATTTATAAGTAAGTAATGTTACTAAGAGATGTTATTAGAGATCTTATTTTGATTTATTCTATACATTTGAAGAAATACAGGCTTATAAAATGAAATGAAAAGGCTGTTGATTTAAAAAAAGTACCGTAAACCTTTGCATGACTAAATAATTGGGATAAGTAATGATTATCTTATGTTTTTAAGCCTAATGAGTACATTTTAGAGAGTAAATGGTAAAAACCTCCTTTTCTTTTAGACAGAATGTGTTGGTCAGGCCTGGTTTGATTGGCAGATTTCATCCTATCAGGTTTTTATCCAATTACTTTTATGATAATTCAGTGAGTCAGACAAGCTGAAATATCAATAAAGGGTGCTAGAAACAGATTTTTTTTCCCCCATAAATGATGTATGAATTTCAGTGTAAACATGAGTATGTTCAAATCTGCATACTGCTGCATAAAAGTCTGTCAAAATAGTACAAGAATACTATAATAGTGTGCTGTGGTACTATTTTAACATTCTACTTGTTGAGGAAATATGTTGCTGAGGATGTAGCCTGTGATTGTGTCTAATTTACATGTGCCCTTTTGAGAATAGCACTTGTGTAGCACTACTTGATGAAAGCAAAGATTAGCATGCCCTTTTTAAAGTTTTTAATACTGTGGGACCTAAATTCACTGTATTTGGCTCTTTGAATGCATTCACCCTCCTTGACATTGACTGAGATTGCATTCCAAGAGCATTTGGAGTATTTACTCGACCTGGAAATGCCTGACATTCCATCATCCTCTCTGCTATAGAGCACTTCTACCATTCCTGTACAATGTGCATTCACTGCCAGTGATTACTCAACAGGTTTCAACCTTAAGGGGATGGAACAGAGAGCAGACATGACTCCTCAGCCTATAGGTATTCTCTGAATACTATAGCCTTTCATTTCTTACCACACTTTTTTTTTATTGTTTTGATCAAATATGCGCAAATATGACAGGTTTGATGAGCTGTTTTTTCCAGGTGTTTTTCTGCTGCGTTTGTTGTTTGCGGTTGCTGAACGTGCACAGATTTTTGTCAGTCTGAATACATTCATTACAATTGCCGATTCTCAGTGAACTGTTTACAGAGGTGCCAACATCTGCCGTTTAGCCGTAGCATTTACGTTCTTTGGCCCTCTGCTACAGCGATACAGGAGACGCCTGAAAACTTTCTGCATTTAAAGTTAAAGCAGTGAATAAACTTCACCCCGGTGATGGAAAAGCCAGTTCATTGAAGGGAAGTGCATTTGCTCCTATGAGTGGTTACTTTGCTTCTTTGCTGACTTTATCCAGGTGAACTTTGCCCTGTTAATTCGTGAAGCTCAGTTTTGTGAGCCAATAGAAAACGAAACGGTGAGGTTGTGGTCTCTGGTTGGTAAAAACACAGGGTAGAATGTAGTATTTATAATCTATGCTGTTAGCATGGAGCTGTCTCATCCACTCCACGAGTTTTGGTTGTAATATTCTATCTTCTCTTTGCTTGCTAGGATTTTCTTGTTAGCAATGTTGACATCTCTGCTGTACCCTAAAGTCCAACCAAGTATATGCATATGGCTAATATGGTTAACAGGATGTTTTGTCCGTGGTACCAGAATAATGAGGAGCGTGTGAGTCCTGTCGGAGACCCTGTTTACGCTCATATATATATTTTGTTATAGAGACAGACAAAACTTCTCCCAAAACATTATATCAAAAGTGGGGTGTGTACAGTGATTCAAATACCAGTTATACCAGTTGTTCAAAATATTAAATTCAATTTTATTTGTATAGCACTTTTAACAATGGACATTGTCACAAAGCAGCTTTACAGAAATGTGTAGGTTCAGGATATAAATTTTAAATTTATAAATTTATCCCTAATGAGCAAGCCAGAGGCGACGGTGGTAAGGAAAAACTCCCTGAGACGATATGAGGAAGAAATCTTGAAAGGAACGAGACTCAAAAGGGAACCTTCATCTGGGTGACACTAGATAGTGCGAATATAAATAATTCCTTTCTATAACTGTTTACTACATGGTAATAAAAAGTGCAATTGTGTAACCAGGAAATTCATTATAATTTTGTTGAAGTTATCAACTGTTCACTGATGGAGACTTGAGTGCAAAACTGTTCGTGGGAATTGCAGTCCTAAAGCTATCATAGCAATTGTAGTCCTAAGCCATGGTAGCAAAAATGTTTATCAATTGCAGTCCAAAGCCATCTTCATGGTTTCTAAGTGGTACCATCCACAGTAATCTCATGTGTCTTTAGGCTGTCTGTGTGGGGCTGCGAGTGGTTTCCAAATGATGAAAGCTCCAACCAGAAGTAGGGCATCAGGCTGGATCAGGCAGGTCCGGAGAGCAGAAGGGGTCAGGATCACTGATATCTCAGGAGTAGCATGTGTAGCTCTGTGTATACTGACAATCGAAGTGAATCGTGAAGCCAGTGTTGTGAATCAAAGCGACTCATGACCGGAATATATCGTTACACCCCTAATGTTTAGTGACTAGGGATGAGTATTCAATCCACAGCTCTTTATCATATAATTAAACAAAGACCTACATATCTCTACATTTAAGGAGAAAATCACAGGTTAATAATGTGTACATAATATCAGTGAATGGGTATGGGATTATTTTTTCAAGGTTCTGACTATGACATGTATTGTTTCTTTGTTACTGGGGTTATAACTAGAGTCATTCCTTCATAATTTTGATTAAGCATTAGGTCATTAGTCGGTTTAAGCTCCAGCCTGGCGTGGGTGTGTGGGAGGGTTGCGGTGTATGCACTAATACTCTTATTTAGCAGCTGGGAAATGTTGTGTTGCATCGTGTTCTTCTGCCTGTTTGTAATCATCTGTCTTCCATCAGGCCACATACACACACACACACCATGTGCAGATGGGAAGTGGTTTATAAAGTAAATTTATAAAAAAGTGTACACTTCTGTGTGTGTGTGGGTGTGTGTGTGTGTGTGTGTGTGTGATTTTTGCTGTGATCATTGTGTATCTGACAAAATGCTGACATAGCTAAAGTAAAGCCTCTTTTTCACTGTGGGGCCAAATACTTCTGAGCAAGGAGAGAATTTTCACACGAGTACAGTTAGGCATGTAATGCTTTGCAAGTTTTCTTTTTGCCACGGTTTTAGTGAAGTGTACCATGCAGGTTTTCTCCTTGATGCCAATTAACGTCTTGGCCAATAGTAAAATTCAAGAGTGATTAGAAGAAAAGAGATGAAAAATGACGCTGTATTCTTACAGTAAATAGTTTGGTTTTTACTGTGAACGATGACACTGATCATTCAGCCATTCAGATGAATACTGCTTCAAAAGGAAGCCTACATTCTGCCAGTCATTTAAAGTGAACTGTGCTAATTGCCTGATGAATAGGCAGGAACAGGAAGAATACACTACAGCATCCTATTTTATCTTTATGGTAGTTAGGTACATGGTAACAGTCATAATATGAATAAATAAATCAGATGAATATTGCTGCCTAAGTAAACATCTGCTGTGCTTTCGGCTGAAGCGTAAAATTAATCATTGCACAGCATTGCCTGCTTAAATGTTACTAAACCAGAGGGAGCTCACGCTGGTTGGTAAAAGTTACTGAATATGCAGACATCTGCATACAGCACAGGAATTTAGTGCATCCTGTCCATCAGTTTAGAAAATGACACAATGAAATGTGGCAAAATAAAGGAAAAATGAACAATGTGTCTTAGCAAGGTGTTGGGCCACCACAAGCTGTCAGAAAATGCCTCTGGAACTGTACTGGAGGGATGAGCACCATTCCTCCAAAAATATACTCCCTCAGTTGGTGTTTTGAAGATGGTGGTGAAGAGTGCTGTCTAACATGTTGCTCCAAAATCTCCGATAGTGTTCAATTCAGTTGAGATCTGGTGACTGTAAAAGTTATAGCATATGATTTGCATCAATTTTATACTCAAACCATTCAGTGAGTCCTCACACCCTGTGGGTGGGGGCGGGGTCACCTGGAAGAGACCGCTCCCATCAGGATAGAATTATTTCATCATAGGGTAAAGGTGATCAGTCAGAAGAACTTTGCATTGATTTGCAGTGACCCTTCCATCTAAGGGGACAGGTGGATCTAAAACTTGCAAAATGCCACTCCCTCGTTTCAGTGGACACAATGCTCCATGTTCACATTTACAGCAAATGTTAAGGGTCTTGCTCAAGGGTTCAGCAGTGACAGCTTGGCAGTGCTGGGATTTGAACTCACAGCCTTCCGAGCAGAAGTCCAGCATTTTAACCACTGAGCTACCACTGCCGCTACCAACATCTTAACCACTGAACTACCACTACCAACATCTTAACCACTGAACTGCCACTGAGCTACCACTGCCACTGCGTCACACTTCGCCTTGTGAATTTCTTCCCAGGGTGGAGCAAAATCAGGCAATTATGGGTGGTCCTGGTGTAACAGGTTTCTGTTTTTAGTTTGTTTGTAGTTTATTTGTTTGTGAGTGGTGAGCCGTTATTTGACTGAGGAGCTGAAAAGGTTTCTTGACTAGTGAAATGGTGATAATGATAAATTCCTTCATGTCGAGCCTTCCACAAAGAAGTGACCCCAGCCCCATGCCCGGATTCTATTGTTCCACGCTTCCAAGATTGGCAGCCTTGTGGGGTTAAAGTTTATCGAGATGCTTTCAGTGAGAAGCAAAATCTGAAGAGGTGGAAGTGAGATTAACTGCCTGCGGAAACCAATTCCCAGTGAACAGGCTTTTTCACAAGGCACACTTAGACACAGCTGGTGTAGCCGCTGCGTCACATGTATCTGGTGAAAGTGGTACTTTTCAATTTAATTAGCTGCCCTGGCAAAGATGCTTGAGATGTTTGCAGCTTTAGCACCATGCTTTTAATGTAAAGCCCTATTTGCTGTGTGCTCTTTCATGTCCAGACTATAGCAGGATCTGAGAATTTTGATTTCCTCTGACTCATTTCTCAATCCTGTATGTTCTGAGTGCTGACTGTTCTGATTTTTCTTCTTGCCTTTTTCAAAAGGTTTCCTCTCATCCTTCATCATTTTGGAGAGAGCGAAAATATGTTTTTAGTAAACATGCTTGTATTGGAGTGTAAGAATCGTCATGCTCAGTCAGTCGTGATCATATTAGACTGTTTTTAGTTTTAAAAGTGTTACAAGTGACACCATTTTTAAGGAAAAATAAATGAGATATGGAGTGGATCGAATGCTGTAATGCAGTTTTATATTGATATTGAAGTGTGACGTGCAGTGTGGTAATACATCATATTAGATCTTTCAAGCAACATCTATATGATTGCACAACCTTCTGCAAAGTTATAAACATATGTTAGACTGGATGCATGCCTGTAATTCATTAAAAAGCTTTGCCTGTGGTATTTAAAAAACAGGAAACTGGTTGTAAATCCAATATTTCACATCATGTCAGAGCCCTGCTGTTACAGCACATTTGGTTCAGGGTTTTCTTGACAAACAGATGGTTAAATGCTTTTGTCAATTTTTCTATCAAAACCAAAAGCTGGTTGTGTGTATGTGTGTCTGTGTATGTGTGTCTGTGTGTGTGTGTTTGCCTCTGCAGCTTCCTTTACTCCTCTGAGGTATAATCTGTTCAAAGTGAAGGCAGCACATAATGAGATCCCACACTGTTTCAGCTACTAAAGCCAGTGTTGTTTTGCCGAGACTCTAACATGGCACTGTGTTGATAGCTTGTTTGGTATTATTGAGAACCAGCTCAATTAGGATCGGTGCAGATTTGTCTTTCACTCACTTATATGGTTTTGTGGTTTAGGCTGCACATTTGCTGACTGACTGTTTTCAGTGCCACTTCGGAGGCCAATAATGTGCTAACAATTAACAAGCGATCTTGCTTTGCTTATTCTGTCTGTGGAAAAACATTCACATTGCTTGTTTCTGTTTGGTTGCATGGATTTGACTTTTGTTAAGAGAAATGTGGAACTTGAGAAATAAATGACGTCAACCACTGGAATGTGACCGCTTCATGAACGTTCACTCAGGTCTGAGCAGTGGTGTATTTCACAAGGTACACATGTCACTGTGCTGCAGTGTTACTACAGATAAAAGTTTATTCAAATTAAACAGGACTGGTAATGACATTAATATGGGAGCAACACAATCCTTCAGATACAACTGTGCTATCCTGCAGCATAATATTAAGGAAAAGAAAGCACATTAGAACATAATTAGGCAACAAATTAAAACGATTATATTGTATATATCGTAACAGCCTCTGTAAGTATTGGCACCCTTGGAAAAAGATTTTTTTTTTTTAATTAGCTGGAAATTGTACTGAGAACTAAGGAAACCTGAATTTTATGTCAGATAAAAGCCTGAAAGAAGAAAAATCTTATTCTCAAAACATATCAGTTTTATTAATTAAAAGTATTACTATCAATGGAACTTGTGTGATTTGCACAGATTACACTGCTAATGCCTCCTTCATAATGCTGAGACTTTAAAGACTATTCCTTCATGCAAAATGTAGAGATCTTGGGCATTGCCTGTGGATTGTTCTCTACAATCTTAAGTAGGGTGTAGGTCATGGCCTTTGTAAAATTCTGATGAACAGTGAATCGGTTTTTATGTTTTATTATTGACCTGCTGGATTCACTAATCATCCAATCTTAGCATCATGACTGATACAGTCAGATTTAGATCTAAACTTTTTGTTTTTGCTGTTTGATGGAGTTTCTGACACCATGTAGCCTGACAAGATTCCCAAAAAACATCTAGATCTGCCACCATACATCACATTAATGATTTGGTTCTTTTGCTTGATCTTGACTCTTTTACACTAAAACCTTCTTGTAGTCAGTGTTGCTTAAAAGCTCCACCTTTGCCTCCTCTGACCATAGAAACTGCTTCCAATCAAAATTCCAGTGATGTTTAGCAAACTCCAGAAGCTTCAGTTGGTGGTTTGATAACAACACAGGCTTTCTTTTGGCACACGCTCTAAAGAGTTTGTTGGCATGGGGTGGCTAACAGCTATTTTAGTCAAAAACATTTTGTCTCAGTTACGTGTACTCTGATCTTCAGCATGTTGATGACTCAGGGTGTTTGGCCTGATGTGTCCTCTTGTATTTATATCACACTGAAACAGGAAGTTCTTAATAACCACTCAAGTTGCTGAAGACTCAAGTGTGCTAGAAAAATGTAAAATATTAATGTGCACTGGTCTTGCTCCATTTTATAATAGTTTAAAAATTCAGTTTTGCACAAGGGCCTGTTTTTTTCTTTTCCTTTTTTCTTTTTTTTTTCATTTTAATAAATTTACATCACTGAAAGGTTAATTTATCTAATTATCAGTGCAACATCAGGCTAATTTTCTCATCTTTACTAAGGTTATATGTACAGTTCCTAATGAAATAATGTACTTAGCTATTAGAAACTTAGCTATTATAAACTTTCACACAGTATCTACCAAGTGAGATTTGCTTCAGTGCCTGGCTGCTTCTGAAAGTTTGCCAGCTGTGTAGAGCTTTAGACCAACCACATTAAGTTTCCAGACAGCTCTGCTATTATTAGACAGATCAATATCAGCAAGAAGTCTGCATACAGGGGCGAGTTGGTCATTCTTGTAACAAAATCTGAAGCTGAATGTCAACAAGATTAACAAACTCACTGTAGATTTCAATGTGATGGCTGAAAGACAGTCCAGTTATCGTCAATGACATTATCAAGCCATCAGCATCAGGTTCCCTGAGATCAGCATCGGCATTGCCTGCAGATCTCCGACCTGTCGAGCTTCACAACACTGTAGCCATACCGAAAACATTCAGTAAACTGTTTATTGTACTGTGTCAGTGCCAAGAAGAAGTCAAGTACACACATCTCAGCTCGGTGCTGTTTCTGGATTTGGACGCAGACTGCAGCAGAAAGGCAGTAGAATGATGTAACGAACGTCTGCTAGCTTTTAGAAATGCTGTATAATCTCCCTAAGGAGAATGATAATGGATGTGGGAACAGTCTCTGGGCAGGAGAATGAAACAGAGTGCTCACCAGGTGCTCTGTTAAACATAATGGAGGACTCTGCTAATGACTTTCTCCTGCTTCAGCAAGTTAGAGGAACTTGGTAGTCAGCTTACTGCTTCTTCCCCACTCTTTATAAAATTCATTAAACCTTTAAGCGATTTAGCTCTTATTGATATAACAGTCACAGAATGTTTATGAAAGTTATTCTATTTCAGAATATTTCTTTAGAATAATCTGTCAACTGGAATCAATAATCGTTTCCTGTAGGCGTCGCCACTAGGAGGCAGCAGAGGACTGCCACAGTTAAGGACTGATCCAGTGACCCTGCTATTGTTTAACATGTCTTTGTTGAGTTGCCCTGGCAGTTTTCATCTGAGGGGACTCCCTGTCACTGTCAGTTACAATATCAGCTCAAGCTTGGCTTGTTAAATGGGCCCTTGAAAGACCTCAGGATCGAGTGAACATCACTGTAGATTTCATGAGCAGAAAGCAATGCAATTTAATGTGAATATCTTGGAAAAAAAGGTGTGTGTATGTATAAAACTTTTGATTTAATTCATTCAGATGCTATGTTTCTAGTTTTCTCTCATGCATGGCATCACCTTTACTAACAAGTTACCAAGTGCACGTTCTTCACCAACAACTACTGTCTAGCCTGGGTTAATGGAAGTATTTTATTTTTTTTTTGTAGTGTCAGAGGAAACGAATATTGATTAGGCTCAGGTAATCTAATGAAAACTATTCATTAGAAAACTAAATGCTCCCAGTGTGTTTGCTATCAAGTGTAATTTCTATTAAATAAAATCTATTTTTTGCAAGTATCTACTCGTGGGAAGTAGGTGATGGGTCGTCATAATAGGGAAGTAGATGAGTGCATGGTGAAAACCGTAATGATGGAAATAGGCTTGAATAGGAAAAACAGGGACAGCCTCCCAGCTCCCTGTTTCTACATCTCTCACTCCTGCCCTTTTGCTTCATCTTGTCAGTAAGTGCAGTGTGGGCCTGAGGCTGTTTTCTGTCTGAGACTTGAGACGGACACAGGATCACATCTCAACAATTATCTGCTGCATAATTTGCTTTTATTGACCCGTCTTTCTGAGTGAGCTGCCTCAGGCTAAACTCTTTACCTCCTCCCTTCATTCTGTCTGTTCTCTGTATAATAGGATCTATGTTTGATGTATATGCCATTTTTCGTTTTATTGCATCGTCACTCATCAGTACACCTCCAAGCTTAAACAAACTTTTGCTAAAGATTATGGTGTTTTTTCCGAGTATGCAGTGTGCCAGTTTGTGCCTACT